GAAGCTAGAACCAGATTTTCACTGAGATACGTCATACTAAATGTTCTGTGAAGCTAGAACCAGATTTTCACTGAGATACGTCATACTAAATGTTCTGTGAAGCTAGAACCAGATTTTCACTGAGATACGTCATACTAAATGTTCTGTGAAGCTAGAACCAGATTTTCACTGAGATACATCATATTAAATGTTCTGTGAAGCTAGAACCAGATTTTCACTGAGATACATCATACTAAATGTTCTGTGAAGCTAGAACCAGATTTTAGTGCAGATTAACACCATTTACTGCTTTTACAAACAAATTATGACCTTAAATGACTCAGAAATATTAAGAGAAATATAAACAACTATAATGAAGATAAGATTTACAAATACTGTAGCTATGTGGAATATTTCAAGATTAAGAAATAGAAAAAAAGATATACATTAAATACAAGGGATTGTGGGGAGACTGAAAAATATATTGTTGATTGAAGGATCATGGGGAGACTGAAAAATATATTGTTGATTGAGGGATCATGGGGAACTAAAGAATATATTGTTGATTGAGGGATCATGGGGAACTAAAGAATATATATTGTTGATTGAAGGATCATGGGGAACTAAAGAATATATTATTGATTGAGGGATCATGGGGAACTAAAGAATATATTGTTGATTGAAGGATCATGGGGAACTAAAGAATATATTGTTGATTGAGGGATCATAGGAAGCTAAAGGATATATCCCTATTGCGACGATTTACTGATTTTTTGTAAGTAGGTTACATAACTCTCGTGAAAGTTCTTTAGAAAAATGCAACTAGTGGATGAAATTGTTTGAAATTTGACACGAATGTTCCTAAAAATATGTAGGTTCAGAAAAATATATTGATTTTTTTCTACTATTTCTCATCAAATATTGCTTTATTTAATGTAGTTATTTGCACTCGGACTCTGAATAGTTCACATGCAAGGTGATTTTCTCTTTGAGTATAAAAATACTACTTATTATCTTAGTTCCCATTTCATTTGAATAATCTCGAGAACCTCCTAAATGAATATCAAAAGTTTTTTAAGGAAAATGTTTATATTTTCTCTACCATATCACTAACTCTAGTTATTATCATCAATGTACAGTGCAATGAAATGTTTGTAATTAATACATAGAAATGTGTACATACCTTTAAACTCTCTGTAGATTTATTTTACAACTTTTTTTTATGTGTAATTTCATCTATAGTGTATTTTTAATTTTCCTTTCCAATTCTTTGTCTTATTATTTATGGAGATATGTCAACTGGTGCCTGCGGGGCTTTATTATGGTGACTCCCGTGCATAGACTCATTTCACTAATGCTTGCGCATGCGAATGACGGCATCTTGTTTATACACTTTCACAATCCAAGCCACAAGTTAAACGTATTAGAATCAATAAACCTTTCAAATATATACAAATAATTAAAATATAAACATAAAACCAAAATGCAATCTAACTGTCTATCAAACTAATAAGGTGAGAAATGCTTCGTACAACTCAAGAGAACAATGGACTTAGCTTCATTTCATTCTGTTTGAAAACAAAAGCATACACATATGTTTGCTGTTACAGTAATGACGTTGATGAGGGAAATCTGCTCTTTCTGTTGGTTTTAAGCATGCCATTCAATTCAAACTGTTGCATAGCAATGCAGCTTCAACTCTGCAAGTAGGTGTGGTTGACCTTGAACTAAGGCTAATATTTACGATGGTTTAATGAGGGTAGAAGTTCTTCTTAGGTCTTGAGAAAGTAAAGTAAAACATCTGTATTGTGTACTTTGGCCGTCTACAGAAATTGTATGCATTCCAAATACACAGGTTCTTCTCTATCACCTCTTAAAGTTGAGAAATTATAACCGCGAGTGGATCACGTAACAGCAAAAAATGCAGTTTTAGATGTTTTTTTTAATATAGAGGAATAAAACTTAGATAATATACAACTTTAATTATAATGTTCTGTATAATAATAAATTCATTAAAATACATTTATAGTAAAGTTATTTCATTAAATTTTGAATGTAACTCGAGAGCGGGTGCACGGAACGGGGTTTAAAAATGGCATCGTTCCTATAGAGATACTGTTGATTGTAGGATCATGGGGAAGAAATCTAGTGTTCATATGAAGAAACATCATGGGAAGACTGAGAACATTATTACTTTAATGAAGTGTTGTGGAGAGACTAATGAGTATGTTGTTTATATCGGATGATTTAGTACTCGGGTATTGGGAAACTTGGAGCACTAATAGATTTCTTAAACAGATCAGTCATATTAAGTTTGTGCCAATGACTTTAACCTAACACTTTCTATAAGTTAACTCTAATAAAGAAGATGAAGAATGAAAAAGTTTTAATAAATTATCAGTCAAAAATATACTCTTCAGTTTTCCCACAATCCCTCAGTCAACAGTATGCTCTTCAGTCTCCCCACAATCCCTCAGTCAACAATATGCTCTTCAGTCTCCCCACAATCCTTCAGTCAAAAATATACTCTTCAGTTTCCCCACAATCCCTCAGTCAAAAATACTCTTCAGTTTCCCCACAATCCCTCAGTCAAAAATATACTCTTCAGTTTCCCCACAATCCCTCAGTCAACAGTATGCTCTTCAGTCTCCCCACAACCCCTCAGTCAACAATATGCTCTTCAGTCTCCCCACAACCCCTCAGTCAAAAATATGCTCTTCAGTCTCCCCATAATCCCTCAGTCAACAATATGCTCTCCAGTCTCCCCAGGCTGTGTTATTACTCTGTTTCCAATTTGTGTATGTGAGTGTGTGGTGGGGGGGGTTCAATGGCCTGTTACACTGTAATGTTTTATATGTGAAGCATTAAGTTTTGTTATTTGGAAACCCTGTTAGTTTCTATGTATAAAAGCATATTCAAATGAATAGACAGTAACAGTTTAGTTATTGTGATGATAATTGGGCTTGGAGGTAGTAAGTCAGTAAGTGTGTATAGACAGGTCATTCGAAATTTAGAAGTCCTGAGATCCCATCAAAGTTAATCTGGCTTTACTGGTAATATAAATAGGACACTAAAGTTGCTTGATTTTCTGAGTTGTATTGCTGTGTTTAAGAGATCACCAAATCAGAAGGACCTGTTAATGTTTACTTTGAAAACTGATGAGAACAACATTGTTGTGCAAGTAGGTTAAAACTTTTCATTCATACTGAGAAAACATTTTCCATTAACATTAGTGAAGGAACAGAGATTTGTGGAGATCAGTCTATAGAATTATGCAGTCTGATATGTGTGAGTTTGGAGTTTTACATTCTCACTGTTAGGGAATTATTCTGTTTTCTGTAAAAAAATTAAACCATGCAGTAAATTAATATTACAGGAGATAGAATATTACTGGAAGGTTTTTACTTTAAATTTTATTACAAAACTTTCCTGATATTATTATTTTTTATGGAGAGCTGGTGCCCACCCAGGGGAGACTGTTCTGGTGCATGGTGCTAGTGGTGCTGTTGGTATAGCTGCCATTCAGTTGGCTCGAGCATATAACATGGAAATCATAGGCACAGCTGGGACACAAGAAGGACTAAATGTTGTAAAAGAGGTTGGTGCTCATCACGTCTGTTGTCATAGGGAAAAGAAGTATTTGCAGAAAATAATGGTAAGATAGTTATTATATGAAGTTATGCAGTTTTAAGTTTTAAATTAGGTTTGATAATTTAACTGTATTTTTTTCTTTGGTAATGATTAATCTTTAAAGGATGGGCACAAAACTAAGGAGTATATTGTTGATTGAAGGATCATATGGAGACTGAAGAATATATTGTTGACTGAGGGATTGTGGGGAGACTGAAGAGCATATTGTTGACTGAGGGATCATGGGGAAACTGAAGAGTATATTGTTGATTGAAGGATCATATGGAGACTGAAGAATATATTGTTGACTGAGGGGTTGTGGGGAGACTGAAGAGCATACTGTTGACTGAGGGATTGTGGGGAAACTGAAGAGTATATTTTTGACTGAGGGATTGTGGGGAAACTGAAGAGTATATTGTTGACTGAGGGATTGTGGGGAAACTGAAGAGCATATTGTTGACTGAGGGGTTGTGGGGAGACTGAAGAGCATACTGTTGACTGAGGAATTGTGGGGAAACTGAAGAGTATATTTTTGACTGAGGGATTGGAAGATATTTCTTTATATTTTATGACACTTTTCTAGGGCCATTTGGCCAGAGCTCATTTAAAAGTTTTACAGTCATTTCCCACATATTTAGCATGACAGGTTGGTGTGCCTTACCAAGTATGACAGGTGGTGTGCCTTACCAAGTATTACAGGTTGGTGTGCCTTACCAAGTATGACAGGTTGGTGTGCCTTACCAAGTATGACAGGTTGGTGTGCCTTACCAAGTATGACAGGTTGGTGTGCCTTACCAAGTATGACAGGTTGGTGTGCCTTACCAAGTATGACAGGTTGGTGTGCCTTACCAAGTATGACAGGTTGGTGTGCCTTACCAAGTGTCTGATATCACTAGGGTTGTAGAACATCGTCATGAGTGAGAATTGTGGATAATTCTTTCCAAACAAATGGTTCTTACTCAGTAAGTGTGTCTTGCTAGCTAGAGGATTGTTTTTCATGGGTTGTGTAATAACAAACAATCAACTTGAATGGGTTGTGTAATAACAAACAATCAACTTGAACAGGATGTGTAATAACAAACAATCAACTTAAACAGGATGTGACACATTTGACTCAGAAGCTGCTACAACCCCTTTTAGTACTCTATCTCTATCAAATAATAATCCAAAGAAATTAACATCATAAATTCTTAACATTTAACCAATTTTTAGTTATTCACATTACAAGCAATTACAGCTTTATTACACGATTGTCGAGAGGTGAGTAGAATTACAGAAGAAATGGTTTAGTGAGGATTTGTTGATGGAGTTTGTATGTAACATAATGGGTCAATAGAATTACCTATATTCTCCAGTGGGACAGCAGTAAGTTTACTGAGTTACAGCACTAAAATTTGGGGTTCAGTTCCCTGCAGTGGACACAGCAGATAGTCCAATACGGCTCTGTTCTAAAACAAACCAACATCTACAGACTTTCATGGAAGCACACAAGTTTTTAGAGTTACATATGAACTGGCATTTCTTATATTTTTCATTAGATGAGTTATTAAGAAAAAAACTACACCATTAAAATCAGACAATAATTAAATCTTCTTAAAGTGGTTCTAATTATTTATTTATTAGCTATTGGTTAAAGTGAAGGCAGCGGGTGTAAATCCTGTTGATACTTATATTCGAGAGGGAAATTTCATCAAACTTCCAAACCTGCCGTATATCCCTGGTAAAGATGGTGCTGGTGTTGTTGAAGCTGTTGGAGAACAAGTCAGTGATTTCAAGGTATCAGTGTTTACATTATCAAGTGGTAAAGAATTCTGTTTATTACAGTTTAAAAAGTTTTGTACACAAGTAGTCATTATTTTACTACTGAAAAATGTTAAATATATTTAGTGTGTTATTAATGTAACAGCATTTATTTCTTTTAAAGTGTTAACCGTAGCAATATTTTACTTGTCATTTAACATTTATACCTTCAAAGGATGATATTATTTTAAACACACCTTTTTTTGTTGGACAGGTTGGACAAAGAGTGTATTTTTGCACGCTTAAAAGTACTTCACAGTATGGTTCTTATGCAGAATATATAGCTGTTGATGAGAAAGTAACCTTTCCATTAGTCGACAGCTTAACTTTTGAAGAAGGTGCAGCTATAGGAATACCTTATTTCACAGCTTATAGAGCATTAATACTCAAGTAAGAATTTTGACACATTTTTTTTATTTTAAAGTTTAAGAAGATTGTATTGATATCCATTTTAATAAGCATGATTTCATTGCTTCATTTGTGGGGCATTTTTCCCTGAGACTCCATTTTTAAAAAAGCCTCCAAGATACAAATTATTATTTAATAAAAACTGAATAAAAAGACCTTTTCAACTGTTTAATTGGGACTTTAGGGTTGTTTTACATGCATTATCCTGTCATCCCTTCGAACCTATGTATCATTATATCACCTTTCCCTCAAGGTATATTTTTTTATTGTTGTTAGCCACCGTTCTGATTTACTTGCCATTCATGTTCAGTGGACTCTCTATCATTCCACCTATGTTTTGCTCTATCCCAACCAATCATTTCTCCAGAACATTCTCGCTGCCAGAGAAGGAAACAAATATTTTTCTCCTATTCATTTACTTGGCATGTCTTATCTTTACAGTTATCAGACCTGGATCGTTTGTTATGTCCCGTTAGGGCATTTGGATGTTATGTGGCTCGTACGGAACCGGCTTGTTATTCATTGGGATCCTGCAGTGTCCAGGGATTTATCACCCATTACTTTAACCAGGTGGCTTTGGAAGTTGATTCATGTAGCCTATTCTGGCTTATCTGTTAACGATTGCAATGTGCTCCACATTGCCTCTCACCAGATTCGGCATCTTTTGATGTAATTGGCTGCCCAGCTGAACTGTTCTCTGGAGGACATTTTGCGGGCCGATATGCGGACTTCTCCCGACAGTTTCGTATCTCATTACCTTCATGATCTGGCAGTTTCCTCTTCCATAGGATTTTGTCCCCCTGTGGCTGTGTTGACAACCTCTGCCAGATTTTAACAAAGAGGTGAGTAACTTTCTTACCTGATTTACAGTTTTTTTCTTTTTCTTCTAGGGTCTCTCTTTATTTCTTTTGGATCCCACTCAGTGGCGAGTGTTGCCCAGTCAGGTATGCTTGTATTTTATATTCTGCAATAGCAACCTCTATATTGGTTCATGGTTTCAACAGGCTCTGTCAAGATGAGGTGTTCCATAAGACCATCTGGATGCAAATGGAGTATCATGATCAAAGCTAAAGGGGATTTTGCCAGTCCCTGCTGATCTTAGAGACGAATCAGTCAAGATAAGTTTGCTTTTAAAAACTTAGGGAACATGGTTCGCCTGTTGCACTGTCTCCGGAGACCTGTTCCTTGGGACTCCCCAATGACATGTCCCTCTTGCTTCTACTAGTGAAGTTAGGGGGTCCTTACCACACCCAGTTCCCAGTTGCTGGTGTTGTGGGGGACAGAGGATTTTCCTTCGGGGGGTTGAGTTTTCTCTACTCTCGGAGAAGAGGGTAGAGTTGGGGACCCTTCTACCTGGGTACCCGGAAGTTTTTCCCGGATGTTGGTAGGAGCAGGACCAACTTTTGCAGGAGCCTACTCATAAAACCAGTCCAGATTTGACGCTTAGCTATTTTGTGGGTGTGGGTGTGTTTGGACCCTCTTATGAACACTTTAAGCTCTTAGGTTTTTCATTCAGGGGGTCCACTATCTCCTCGTAAATCCGAATGTGATGTGGCCCCATCTTAGGCCCTTGGTGGAACAGTGTTCCACATCTTCTCTATAATTCCATGGGTAAGTGGAATTCTCCTTGTCCACTTGACTGAGGAGTGAAGATGTCTGTTCAAAATGCAGACCAGATGAGTTCTGAACCTTGGGTGAAGTATGGCATACAATTCCATCAGTCCAGGCCTGGGATGTTGCCTTTTGGACTTCTTCAGGTTGATCAGAAATCTGGTTGTTTGAAATGCATCATTCCATGGGTTAGTGGAATTCTCCTTGTCCACTTGACTGGGGAGTGAAGATGTCTGTTCGAAATCCAGACCAGATGAGTTCTGCACCTTGGGTGAAGTATGGCATACAATTCCATCAGTCCAGGCCTGGGATGTTGCCTTATGGACTTCTTCAGGTTGATCAGAAATCTGGTTGTTTGAAATGCATCATTCCATGGCTACTGGTGGGGATTCTGTCACAAAGATATGTATATATTTGCGGTCTAACTGCCCTGGCCACTAATGTGGGATACGGGTACCATGACCCCTTAAATCCAGCCCTGAGTCGTAGAACCTCGGCTGTGTGGTTGGGGTTGGCCCATCATACTTGTTTAATATTCCACCCTTTTCACTTTTTTGTAGTTCTGGGTGAAGAGCATACCTGTTCTGGATGTAGTGTGGTGTTCCCCACTTCGGTACCACTTCGTTCTATGTAGATGCTTTCTGTATGATCTATGCCCTCACTGGCTCCTCCGCCTTCTCAATGTGGGATTCTAGCTATAAGTGTCAGCGAAGATATGTATGTTTTGGAAGTTATCATTTTTCCTAATCTGAAAATGTATTTCCAAACATAGTTACTTCCGCTGACACTCTCCATTCTTTCCTCCCCACTAAGAGCCAGTGTTAGTGACCAGGATGGGGTAAGTCTCGAAAAAGTGATTATATTTTCTGCATACAGTGCTTATATACAGTACCTGCATAGATGGTGTGTAAGGGCCGGTGTAAGGTTTTACAAATTAGATATTGCCGAGGGCAGTCGAGTGGGGTATATAAAGACTGGAGCAAGCAAACACAATGTTAAATGGCAAAGATGGAGATTGAGAAATAGCTATAAGTGTCAGCAGAGGTAAGTATGTTTGGAAATACATTTTCAGATTAGCAAAATGATAACTTTAAAGCTTACCCTGGGCAGCGATGTTCAGTTGTACTCTGTTTTTTAGGTCTGATCCTTCCTCTAGTGTACTTGGTGCCTAGTGCAAGATCAGTGAAGTGGTTCACTGTTCCATAAAGTAGTCTTTGTACATCCTCAAGTATAGTTTATTTACAGATGCATATTAGGTCTGTGGTATGTAGGGGAGGGTTTTGTTCACATCAGTCTCTTGGAACTGTTTTGTGTAATAACAAACAATCAACTTGAACAGGAGGATGTGTAATAACAAACAATCAACTTGAACAGGATGTGTAATAACAAACAATCAACTTGAACATGTGTAATAACAAACAATCAACTTGAACCTGTTCACAATGATTGTTTGTTATTACACAACCTGTTCAAGGTGATTGTTTGTTATTACACAACCTGTTCAAGGTGATTGTTTGTTATTACACATCCTGTTCAAGGTGACTGTTTGTTATTAAGCACAAAGCTACTCAATGGGCTAGCAGGTATCAAAACTTACTAACTGCTGAGCTACTGGTTGGCCAATGAGGTTGAATCTGTTCCTGTTAGTAGTTATATGGGGAAAATGATTTTAGTTGGAGTTTGATAAAAACCACCTGATGAAACTCTACAGTGAGATAAAGGATTCAATTTTTAATGAGATCATACTTAAAGGAGATTTTAATTTCAAGCATTTTGTTTGGGAAAGGTTAGAGTCAAACTATGAAGGAGATAGTTTTCTTCACCTCCATATTATTATTATATATTATAGTTTGGGAAATGTTAGAGTCAAACTATGAAGGAGATAGTTTTCTTCACCTCCATATTATTATTATATATTACAGTTTGGGAAATGT